TGGGCTCCGCACAACCTCTTCCCCGACAAGAAGGTAAATCACTACTCTTTAGTTTTGTTGCAACTAAGAACTGCTTATCAAAAGTAACTTCGCAAAATTGTATTTAATATTTTTGCTTAAGACCCCCACTTTTGTCGGTCACTCATGACCTCAATCGGTCATATTTGAGATTTCTACAAGTAATTTAAAGGAAAAAATATCAATAAATCATACTTTTTTTTCAAAAGAATAATTAAGTCCTATCATATTTACCTTAGAATAATTAAGTCCTACTTTGATAATTTATTCCCAAAAAATCTTAAACTCTGTTAATGATTTATTTTGTTTTAATTTTATTCTTCCCATAAAAAAATTAATTACATTTTTGTTTATAATTTTATACTCGATTATATTTAGTGAAAATTGAAGGTGAGTCCCTCTAGATAGACTTATAATGACTTGAATCTTGGAATGAAACTTTTTAGGGTAAGTCTATGTTTAAACTGATATATATGTACTTAAGTCCACTTATTTTTTAAATCTCAAAATTATCCCTAACGGTGCTAGTTTTGTCCAATTATAAAAATTCATATAGGTTAAATCATTAAGGTATAAATCTAGTTTTGCCTTTTGTCTCCCACTAATAAGCTTTGTTAATTCTAAATGCATGAAGACCGGAAGTTATGATATACACACTACGAATCAAGCGATTTTTATGATGTTAATATGGATTTATTCATGTTTCGTATAAATCCAATTCATTTATAATTTACATTAGTGGCCAGTGACATTTTTTATTTTCTATCTCGTGTTGAATTCGAGTTATATTACTAAGAGTATCTAAATATAACACGATTTGTTAACACAACATGGAATTTAGAGATATTGAGTCTTTCTTAAGCCACAATTTCGTGAACAAGTGAAATCGATACGACACAATTAATAAACGAATCAAGTATATGAGCAACTAATAAAAAAAATATGCAACACAACTGATTTATATACCGGTTATATACAACACATAACCAATATAACATAATTCGTTAGACACGAATTAATAAACGAATCCAATATAAGTAAAATATTTTTTGACATGAACTTGATAAGACCCGATACGAACCCACTTTATCTTACACGAATGAGAGGCCTATATATACACATATTGTATAAAAACTATCACTCTTATTTGCAAGTGGAGAAACTAATAGTCACAATTTTCGTTTGTGACCCTTTCTTGGCAAATACAATGGTCCAAAGATAAGTTGCTTTTATAAGAGCACGACTTTGAGCCAAGCTTAGAGGCAAGAAGCTCTTTTGATTGAGAAGAGAGAGAGAGAGAGAGAGAGAGAGAGAGAGAGAGAGAGAGAGAGAAATGCATATGTTGTTGTACACGTTCTTAGTTACTCCGTTGCTGCTTAGGGCAGTGGAATGCGGAGCAACCGGTGCTTTGGACCCTGCACCAGCTCTTCCCCCAGAAGAAGGTAAATCACCATTTAGTTTTATTGTAACTAAGAACTACTTATCAAAAGTAACTTTACAAAATCGCATTTAACGTTTTCGCTTAAGACCCCCACTTTTTTCGGTCACTCCTGACATCAATCTGTTACATTTGAGATTTCTACAAGTAATTTAAAGGGAAAAATACCAATAAATCATACTTTTCTTTCAAATGAATTGTTAACTCCTATCATATTTACCTTAGAATAATTAAATCCTACTTTTGATAATTTATTCCCAAAAAATCATAAACTCCGTTAATGATTTATTTTGTTTCAATTTTATTCTTCCCATAAAAATATTAATTACATTTTTGTTTATAATTTTATACTCAATTATATTTATTGAAATTAATAATTTTTTTTATTAATCCAAAATATGGAAGGAGAGGTAAAAAAAAAAAAGTATAATTAGATGAGCTTTTCTCCGTGATTGTATTAATAGATTAGTTTTTACATTGTTTGTTAATTCATGAATAGTCAAGTGAGTCAAAATTTTATATGCTTCAAAAAGTCAAAAATAAGAAAAAATAAAGTTTTGTAATCGATGAAGTGTAGGACTTCTTGAGAATAAATTATGAAAATTAGGACTGAATTGCCACATAATAAACATGATAAGATTTAGTGATTTTTTGGAGGAACAACAGGTTTTATTGGTGATTTCTCTGAGAAACATAGAAATATTAAACAGATACAAAAAATTTAGATGCAAACTTATATAGAGTATATAAAAGGGTAAATTGTACCGGAGGTCCCTAAAGTATGAGATTTGTCTTATTTTGGTCCTCAATATTTCAATTGCACCATTTTTGTCTATAAAATATTGAATATGTGTTTATATGGTCTTTCAAGCAGACAACGTCCAGATTGCTAACAATTTTTATCATAAACTTGTCACATAATATAGACAAAAAATAATTTTGATAACTCTTAAACAAAATTTGGATAGTTTTTGACAAAAAAAAGTGTAATATGAGTAGCTTTTGACCAAAATTTGGATGGTTCATGATAAAATTGTGTAATTTAGATAGTTATTTAACCAAAATTTTAGTAGAAATTTAGTTAAAAGTTATCCAAATTAATTTTTTATCTATATTTAAGTATCACATGAAAAATTTATGATAAAAAATTATTAGCAATTTGGATGTTATTTACTTGAGGGACCATATAAAAACATATTCAATATTTGAGGGACCAAAATGATAAAATTAAAACATTGGGGATCAAAATGAGATAAACTTTATACTTTGGAGACCTCCAATACAATTAAACCTATATAAAATATTGATATACTAAAATCGAATTTGATTGTGATCCAATATCATTGCACACAAACATATAAATATATAACAATTAAATCAGTAGTGAAATCTATCTAACATTAAAACTCAAAAACTAATCTTAAGATTACATTGAAACCATATTATTAGTTTATCAGATTAGAGATCTAATTCAATACAATTATTATATTGATAATAAATACCATATAATATTAAAACTTACAATTAATTCAATAAATTTTAAACCATTAGGCCATGTAATACTGCATCATTGAGATGGTGTAACGGGCTCAATATTTTTTCCCGTTCCATTGCCTCACGAGAAATAATCCTCTCTCTCTCACTCACTCTCAAGATCCTCCTACAACCAGTACGCTGCCATTCTTTCTCTTTCCTATTCTCCGATCAGCCCAATGTCGACAGTCACCACCACTTCTTCCTCTCTCCTCCTCTCCTACCAGTTGGCCGATGGCAGACACCGCCATCCTCTTATGTTCTTTCTCTATAGTATTCTCCAACCAGTCCGCCGCTCACAGTCAATACCAACCAGCTCAATCATCCTTAAACCAAAGCATTTGCCGACACATAGCCCGTACTTGAAGCATTCAAAATTTAAATTCAGTACGGTGGATAAACCAACTTGCGTACAGTGAAGTTTGCTCTGAAATTACAAAGGTGAGTGAAACAATTTGCACCGAAATTTGCGCCAAAATTAACACGGTGAGTGATTGTCAGTGAATTAGTGTGCGAAAAGTAAGAGATTGACTACGTTTGTTTTGTGAATTTAGGGTTCCATTTTGTTTTTCCGGTATCCGAATGATTCAATTCTTGACCATTCTCAATTTGGATAAAATTATGCTGACCAAATTTGTTTAGCAAATCTTGTATTCTAAGTGATGTGTCAAAATTTCATTGAACATAGTGGACCCACTGATCCAACGATTTGAGATACAAAATTTGGTAAACAATTTACTCAGAATGATTTTGGTTCAATTCGAATTTTCCAATTTCCATTATGGATTCCCTTTGAAAAACTTTATTTATTTAATCTTTCCAATGACGAGAAAGAGAAAACTGGAAAGATAGAGAGATGACTATAGGAAGTTACGAGAGACATCAAATGTCAGTCTGACAAGTAATAAATTTTGAGGGTAATCTTATCTTAAGATAATTTGTTGATTAACTAGTTATTTCTCGTCCCTAAAGACACACAGTAATAAAAAAAAAAGATCAACAATAAACATATTTTTATTCATATCAAAGATCAAATCACACACATAGAGGATAAAGAAAGAAATTTAAACACCGATTATAGTGGAGGTGAGTAATGATAGTGGTGGTGGTGAAAAAAGGTGATGAGTGTGGTGGGTGGTGACGATTGTGGTGGTAGTGGCAGTCGTGAGCTGTAACGGTGGTGGTGATGGCAGGCGTGGACCATAACAGTGATGGTGGTGGTGGGTTTTGTGTGACAATGGTGGTAATGGTAGCCATGGATGACAACGATTATGATGGTGGGTGAGTGTGGTGGTGGGCGACGGTGATAATGGTTAGCCGTTGTGGTGGTAGGGCGGCGACTGTGGTCGTAGCGGTAATGGATGATGTCGATGGTGATGGTGATGGTGATGGTGGGCAATGACAAATGCTTATGAGCAACAGTGTGATCTGTGATAACAAATGGCGGTCATGGCAGGTGTGTTGGGCTGGTTGATAGTGAATGGCGACAGTGGTGGGCGATGATGGGTGGTAGTGGTAAGGTGTGGTGAGGTTGGGTGCCAACGGCTGACGGCGATGGTGAGTGACGATAAATGGTGGTGGGTGGTGGTGGTGTGTGTTGATGGTGGTACTGGGATAGTGGTGGTAGTGGCAAGAAATATAAGAATGAGATGACGATGGTGGTAGGTGGTTGCGTTTGATGACGGTGGCAACAATCGGTGATCGGTGGTGGTGATGCACGACGGTGGCAACAAGTGGTGGTCAATGGCGGTGATGGTAGTGGTGGTGGGGGTGGGGTGGGTGGGGTGGGGTGGGGAGAGGGGGGTGGGGCAATGGTGGTGGTGGTGGGGTGGCGACAGTGATTGTAGTTGTTAGGGTTAGGGTGATGGAGGGATAATGACGGGTGAAGTGGTGGGGTGACAGCAGTGACAGTTGTGGTAGGGTGGCGGTGGTGGTAGTAGTGGTTGTGGCAACGGTGCCAATGGTGGTGGTGGGACGATGGGGGTGGTGATAATGTGGATGGTTATGGTAGTGGCAATAGCGTTGTTGGCGAAGAATTGTTACAAGGACTTGCGTGAAGAATCCGATGATGATTGTACTTTCTAAAATTTGATGCATTATCAATATATACAAAATTATTGAACTTGATAGTGATACAAACACAACAATTTATATCTAAAATCCTCACATCAAATAAAAAATAAAATTACACAAAAATTATTTTGTTTTTCACTTGAGAAATTTATACTAAAAAACCACACACACGTGCACACACACGCACACAGAAATTGAGTTTAGTAGTTTGGGTAAATATTATAATTAGTTCACAAACTTTGTCTTTTCTTTTGAAATGGTCCCTATATTTTTAATTGTCTTAATTTAGTGATTAAACTATTAATTTCATGTCAATTAAGTCATTCGGTTAATTTTAGCCATTAGCAAACAAGCCACATATTTGTCATATGATTGTCCACGTCATATGATGCTATTTGTTCTAATGGCTGAAATTGACAAAAAATCTTTAATTGAGATGAAATTGATAGTTATGAATTGAGACAATTAAAAATTCAGGATCATTTTAAAAATAAAATGCAAAGTTTAATGACTAATTATGATATTTATCCTAATAATTTTATAATAAAAATTTAAACTGGGTAGGAATGAATATTTATTACCCACCTTGTTCAAAATGACTATATCCAACCCATACTCTTTTCTAGAGCTGAATTTAAATTTAGATAAAAAAAAAACCCTTAAAAATCTTCCCCAATGTTATACTAAAACCATACCAAATAAAGAGAGACTACAATCTTTACCCCTTTCACCAATATTAAATTCCATTCTTTTTTAAAAATCTATCCTCCTTTAAATTTGAGTTTGTTAACATTTAAATTTGAGTTGAGTTTCTCCATGGGAGAGGTTTAAATAAGAGTTAGTATTTCCATCGAAGATAGTCTATAACACATCAAAATTTTTTCTTCAATTCTTTGTATTTGCTTGCAGTGAATGCTGTGAACGCTCTATTTCAACGTTTGAAGACTCCTTTTTGGGAACTCGACCGTAACTTCTCCGCCTTGACTGCGGTGTCAAGCTCAAAAATGAAATTATATGCAACTGTAGCCTTGAGAACCACACGATTTGCAGAGTGACAGAAATGTAAGATCTCTCTTAACTCCAATGATTCCCAACTCTTCAATCTCCCAATTGGTCTTGTAATTTAGGTGACGATGTGTGTTCTTTCACTTTACTGAATTGGTTGTTAATTTTACCCTTAGACAGGGACGGACCCGATACGGTATGAAATCAATTGATTAGTATGAATAATTAATAGGTCAGGTTTGTTTTGGACAAAAATAACCCGTTTAATTGGTATTGCAAGTATTTTTCTAATTTTTGTATACAAATTATATGATTTGTTTTAGAATTAAATAATTTTTTATTGACACTAATATTAAAAAGAACACTACACTTGAAAACGACACAATTTAATATGGCACAAGATAAAAATAACACCACGTATTGATACTTCCAAATTGTCTGTTTGGAACATCCGCCATCTAGTTCATTGAACCCACTGGTGGGTTTTTAAAGGGTTCCATTGACATTTTGGTGATACCCACTCATTTTCAGGGTGGAAGATTGAAGTTGCTGGTAATGATTAGGTTTGAAATTGAGAGGATCTAAAACCAAGTAGTTTATATGAAAATGCTCTTCATGTATGATAATATTTATCGGGGAATTGTCTGCAAACAGCATACATTATGGGAGCTTATCCTCAAAGCAAAAAAATATGAACAGAATTCTGATGTAAATCTATAGTAACTTGAAATTCATTATTCTCCCCCACCGTTGTTCTCACTAAAGTGTTTACATCTTCATACATATCTTTAATAACATCAATATGCCTAATAGTAACATTTTTATTCTCAGAAACCATTTACAATATTTCTCTAGGAATTAAATTATATGTCTTCTCTAAATTTATAAAAATCATATGAAGGTCCTTATTTTTTCTCCCTTTACCTCTCCATTAGTCTCCAAAGTGAATATATAAGTTCAATTGTTGATCTTTCAGGCATAAATTCAAACTGATTCTCAAAAACTGTTGTTTGAAACTTTAATCTTTGCTCGATCACACTCTCCCAAAAATTTCATTGTATGATCGATTAGTTTAATACCTCGATAGTTTGTGCAACTTTGTGTGCCTTCCATAAGTACTTAGAAGGAAATCTTCTACTATTCAGGTTGTAATTGTTTGTTGGGTACTTCCATTCAAGAGGAATGTAAATTCTTTCTTGGCCTTACTCAATTGTGTCCTTAATGCAAACCCATTTCCAGGCACAATGTGCATACAAGACAGGGTGACACTGGCTTGCCCACCTGGAATTTTCCATTTCAATTGTCTTGAGCCTCCAGGTTGGTTTATTGTGAAAACATACCTAACCCCATGCTAAGGATCCAAAGATGCCCTCCAATATCCTTTTTCTGAGGTTTTCACAATGGTATATAACTTACCCGAGTATTGTTGTGGGACCCAGTAGCATAAGAGTGGGTCTATGCCTAGTCGATCTCACGACTCTCACCTTTAATACTAAGATACCATGTGGAAATGATTTTTTCAAGTACTTTTTTGTTTTGTATTTTTATTTTCCAAACTTGCTCCCTTCCTTTAAGTTAATCACACATATGGGTCTTACACTATTGTTACTTTTGTTTTGATTTATCAGTAGCTGAGTTATTATGAAGGATTTCACTGCTTTGTTTTACAGTGATTTGTCAAGTCATGATCTAGGGGGTCGCATACCTGCGGAAATTGGAAATCTTACTCATCTAAGACTATTGTAAGAATAACTACACCATTTTTCTCAATTCATACATTTCTTTTAGACGTAGTTGAATTTTTATGTGATATTTGTAGAAATTCTTTACGCAAAATAAAGTCTAATTACACATTATGTCAGATCTCTAGTGAATATGGTTAAGGATATTTTTTTTACCTCATCCTAGTAATTGGAGCCACTTGCAAAATTTTATATATAGAAACGCAATATCTATATGTGATCAAGCCAATGGTTTGGGTGGACAAAGGAGCTGGGGATTGAGAATTTATATATTTATTTATTTATTTTTGCTGGTTAAAAAAGGTGGGGGCAAATGTAAGCGCCCAGAGATCACCCCAATAGGTTCTCATTGGAGGGATCATGAGGCTCCTTACTACGTCCGTTATTCCTCGCGGGAACGACCTCACTAGGCTAGCATAGCGGTCAATCATCGAGCCCTAATGTGAATTCTAAGATTCCGATTTTGATTGAGAATTTTTTAATATTATAACAAATATACAATTGTGAAACGTACCAGGTATAGGGGTGAATGTAATAGCTGGCCTGATCAGTTAACTCCAGCAAAGATTCTGCGATATGATGGGTTGAATTATGCTTTCACTTGTGATCAGTGCATCATTTGGTCATCAAGGAAGGCAATAAAAGGAGAAAGTGTCTGAGAGTGTGTATCTGTTGGGTTAGGTTTTTTTTTTTTTTTTTGGGGGGGGGGGGGGGTGAGGGGCACTTGACAATTATCTAAAATACAGAAGAAAAAAAAAGAAATTGAAGTACGTTGTTTCAGAAAATTTTTTGATATTAAAGAATGATAAGTTGGGATTGGGTAAAATGACCCAAAGCATATATATTAAGACTACATGGTTTTCAAGTACTCTCTCACACAGGCACTTCAAAATCCAAAGTGCAATCAATAAGGCACGCGAATTGAAAAATGGAAAACCAAATTCAGAGAAGAAAGTTTAAAGTCCTGTCAATTGCCAAATTTCAAGAAATTTGTGATATTTCTCACTGCATTTAGTTGTGATCTTTCTTTTCACCCTTGTATTTTGGCTGATGTGGCTGCTTGAATGGCAGCAATGGTAAACTTTGTGGGCTCTGTAAATTTTGTTTTTAATGATCACATTCTTTTTTAATTGTGATTTGATCTAGTTCTTTGTCACAGGGATTTGAGTGAAAACAAGCTACGGGGCTCGATTCCTAAATCATTTGGAAACCTGTCACAGCTCGGAGTCCTGTAAGAAGTTTTAGTGATTTACTCGAGGGAATTCTTATTATAACTTATTTGCTCAACTTAATCTCTTGTAGATAGTTCTTTTGAGAATATTAATATCACCCACCATTACACCACCACCGCCACCATCATCATCATCACCTGCGATAATAATATCCTCGTATCATCCCACACACACAAAAAATCTCAAAGGGTCCAATATGCCTTGAACTCAACTTCCCTTTTTACCAAATCTCACAATCTTCTTCTAAGGTGGAACCTTCAGGAGTACATAATCGCCCTCTTGAAACTCCAAGTCTCTTATCCGGTAGTCCGCATAACTTTTCTATTTGCACTAAATAACTTTTAGTCTTACTTGAATCACTAAACAACTACCTTCGAATTTCTAGTACACCAACGCGAAGCAAAAGGCCAATGCACGAATAGTATGCCCAGGCTGCCTGTCAAATTTAGAATGATAAATTACATTGAACTTCAAAGTGTTATCCATAACATGTTGCAAATTAGGCTAAATCTAAAGATAAATTTTGGACTTCTATCTACTACACTAGATAAAGATACTCTACATAATCATACACTCTCCCCAAATAACTCTGAGCATACTTTCAAATGAATATTTAAGTTTAATTATCAAAATTGACTAGACTTCATCAATCAATCCACGATAACTCAAATAGATTTTTATGTCCAATTTGTATCCTGAAAGTCCTTATAAAAAATTCATAGTAATATACTCCCATTTTTATTCACAAATTGAAAGAAGTTGTGATAATCTATAGGACACTAATATTCGGTCTTTATCTATCAATGCAATACGAATTGGCTACGAATTCAACAATCTCTCTTTTCTTTCCACTCAACCAATAATAGTTTCTCAATATCAATATAATTTTGAACTCGCCGGATGCACATAGAATTATAGGTTGCATCTATAATGTCTCTCTTCGACGTATTCTCTTTTGGTACCTGTAAATGACGCCAAAATATAAACATAACCTCACCACAAATTACAAAACATATTATGCTACCATGTTACACCTCTTTTCTAATACTCTGCACATCCCTTCCCTCCCCCCCTTTTTCCTAGAATCCGTAGCGCAATTCTCAAATGATGTTCAGGTTCTTCCTTTATTCGAGAATACACAAATATAACATAAAAAATACAGTAACAAATGAACCGAGATAAGGTTGAAATACTCGATTTTGCCAATCCACAAAATAGATGTAGCATTTGTCAACCTCAACGACATCACCAAAAATACAAAGTGGTCATCTCAGTTTGACAATTATTTTCAAAACATCTCCATTTCTTTCTTTTAGCTGAGGATAACTCAATCTAGGATCAATCTTATTAAATACTCTAGTTTCTCACAGCTGATCAAATTAATTAATAATCAATATGAAGTAAAAGATATTTATTGTTTATTGCTACCTTTATTAGCTTGTAATAAACAATGTGAAATTTCACAATCCCAACATTTTATTTACAAGCACCACAAAGGCACATCAAGACGAATTACTAGATTAAATAAATCCTTGATCTAATAAATATTCCAATAGAATTTCCAATTTCTCTACTTTAATAAACCATGCAATATAAAGTAATAAATATAAGTGAATTACTCTAGAAATACTAAAAAATATAAACTCTACATCTCTCTAGTAGCATAGAAAACTACTCTCGAAATATATTTGGATTTTTTTCTTTACTATTGGTATCTCTTCAAGAGACATTCCCTCGTTCCATGTATCAATAATGCTAGCAATGTTCTCCTGAAAATCTTTCCTCACTAGTTTTCGAGCTTGCACTTATGGAGTTAAGACTGGGGATTAAATAATATGGGTTGAAGTTGCTGAGGGGCCCAGTGTCCTCGAGGTGAAGAAGGAGTTTTGTTTTTTTATATGTTTTGAAGGATTAAAGCCTTAAAATGGTGATGTATATAGGGATTTGCCCTGGTTTTCTTCTTGTAATTCTCTTGGATTCATTCTATAAATTTTTTTGATTTTTTTTTTAAAAATAATAATAATTCATGTCCTCTCAAGACCAAATCCATATGCCTCTTTTCAAAACAACCAACTG